AGTGAAAAGGGAGCTGGGCAGGTTGGTCTCCGACTGGGGTAAAGAGGGGAAAACGTGCCAGAAAATAGCAGAGGGCCAACAGCAGACATATGTCTTGCAGGGCCAGCAGCCCCAGCCCGCGTCTGCCGGGCCTCCTGGGCCCCGACTGCAAAGGGTGCAGCAGTGAGGGGACACTGGTGTCAGGAACGCAGTGTCTCCTGGAAGCTGTGGCTCAGCGTGCATTCTCTGCCCACTTGGCCAGATTCTTTTCTTCAGGGCACAGAAGGCCCTTTGCTTTCAAGCCCTGAGGCCCTGGGAGCTCCAGTCTCCTTGCTTTGGCTGCACCTGCGGCCCTGGAAACAGGGACCGGGGAGAAGAGCAGTGGGGGAGCCAGGAGGAGGCTGAGCCCTCAGGACTGCCTGCAACTGTGGGCACAGGTCACAGGGAGATACCCGATCAAAGAGGCTCCATCCTGCCTGCCCCACACAGGCCACCCATGGATTTCAGCTGTCCTCAGGAATCCCAGGGAAAGGTGGCTCTTTCTGTCTCTTTGGAACCAAGGTTTCCAGAGTGGAAACAGTCAAGAGTTCAAGAGGGGACATTTTGAAAAGCATTAATGGGAGAGAATTGCCTCCAGCATTACTGCTTTCGGCTTCCAAACAATGTGGGGTTTTTAAATTTTTTTTTTGATTTTAAGATTTCTTTTTATTTTTTAATTTTTAAAACTAAAAAAAATTCTTAATTAGTTTTTTCTTTTACTGAACAATGTGGTTTAATGAAATTTGTTAACTCATCTTTCATGAATAAAATGGTTGGATTGTAGGAACGCTCAACTCACTGTGCTGACGCTATGTTTTAGTTCACAGAGGCAGACTGAGTTGTCAAGGTAGGTTTCATAAATAACCTCATGGAAATTCTCAGACATCAGCAGGGCAGGTGTCGGTAAGCTCAGGGTGGGGCCCTGGAGTCTGGCAGCAGGAGGGACCCCGCGGGGGGATGTCGGAAGGAGTCAGGAGGCGGGGGGGGGGGGGGGGGGTTGGCTCAGCACGGCCTCATACCCAGCTGAGGGTCAGGGTCAAAGGTGGGACTCCAGCCCCTCATCAGAGCAGGAGGTGGGAATGGGTTAGGTGGCTCTGGCCCGAGGGCCCCTCTGCAGCTGCGGGCTGAGGGCAGTGGTCAATCTGAAGGTCTGCTGGGTCCAGCGCAGGAGCTATGGCCACAGGTGGCAGCCAAGCACTTGAACTGGGGCTCCTTCAAATGGAGAGGAAGAGCAGACTTGACTCCATACTGGGTCTGTTTCTTTCACTTTAACCTTTACATCCCAAGGCTTTTGCTGGTGTTAATCGCTAAAGGGAGGCTGCCTATAGATTAAAGAGTGTGCCTAATGGCCCAGCCCCAGGAACCCTGCCTCCCACACTTGAGCCTGAAGCTAAAATACCTTTTCTGAGCTCACAGGAATATTTTGGCCAGGCCTACATTTGAATGTCTTCAAGAACAAAGACTTTAACGCATCGCCTCCAGGGTCTGGCAGGCACCAGAAATTTGCAATAACTTTCAACCTTAAGCTCCCGCTCTTTGCAGCACAAACAAACCCACATCCACACCTGGGCAAGATGGTTAGTCCGCCACCTTCTCAGTCCTCTGGCTTTCCAAATAAAAGTGCTATTCCTTGCCTCAACACTTGCCTCTCTTGTGCAGCAAGCAGTACAAGCTTGGATTCGGTGACAAGCATGAGGAACACATAAATTTCCAAGACCAATGCAGAATAAACAAAACATCTCAGTAATTTCTCTGTTGCATACATGCCGCCATAGCACTTCGGCTATACTGAGATACATAAAATATGGTATTGAAATACACTTCATCTGTTTAGGTTTATCTCTTTTTACCTTTTTAAATGCAGCTAGCAGAGACTTTCAGACGGCAGCCAGGGTTCCCATTCCCCTTCTAGACCCTCGCCAGGGGTGGAGGGCCTGGCTCCCCTCAGCAGGAGTTTGTCACGGTTGCAGGCTTTAAGCTAAGCTGTTCCTGGTTACTGGGATCCTGTGCAGTGTATAGGACAGTGTTGATCATTGCGGTGGGCAACAGAAATTGACTGGGGCCGCCCACCAGAAACTGCTGGCTGCCACGGAAGAGGAGTGTGACCCTAACAGCTACCTTCCCCACCCCATCCTGCAGTGAGGACACCAAGCAGGGTCCTCTTGGCTTTGTCTGCCCCATGGGGCTTCTGGTATCTTTTTCCATTCCAATGACCATCTTCCTGGAGCAGCTGCTTTACCTGATAAGGAACTCACAACAGTGTTTTCATGCTAAAGGAATTACACTGTAGCTGTGTCCTGGGTTTAAAGCCAGGTTTCTGTGGAATCTAGCTTCATCACTCTTGGAACTCTGCAGGTGGTGTGTGGGGGCATCACTTGGCAGGTCATCCCCAGCATGGTCCTGACTTCGCTCTGCAGCCAGCCCTTCATCTCTCCTGGCCCTAACCACACCCCCTCCCCTATAGGTTCTAGTGATTCGGGGACGGGGACGGGTGCTGCCCTCCTGGAGCAAAGCCCTACTGGGGAAGGCAGATGTTAGCCAGACAGCTGACAACAGCAGCAGCTGCAGCCTTTGGGAGGGACCCAGCAGTTTGCAGAGGGAGGGATTAAGCTAAGATCTGCAGATGAGCAGGAGTTGGGGTAGGGGTGGTGGGGACAGAGCATTCCAAATGGTGGGAACAGCATGGGGAACAGCATGTGTGGAGTCCCTGTGGGCACAGCTGGTGTGTAGGCTCTGTGTGCCCCTCCCACTCACACTCCACCCAACGCAGCTCAGACCTGACTCCAGAGCAGTCAACAAACTTCTGCAGCAGCTGATGCTGGGCCTCAGAGCCCTGCAGTATTCTTGAAGCCCAGCCCAGCCTGGGCCTGCAGCGTCTGAGCCCACACCATGCTTTGTGTTTACATGGGTCCTTCCTGTCCTCCAAGGCAGGTCTCCCTGTGTGCTGAGACACACAAGGCCCTGCTCTGAAATAACGCCCATTCCAGGGAGGGGGAATATGTCCATTTGTGCTCTGCTGCATTGATGGAACAGTTGTGAGCAGACTCTCCCGCGTGGCCCACTGAGTGCCCTAGAGGGGACAGTAGCTGTGCAGGGTTACAGCAGGCGGATTTCATAATACTTGGTTTTGACTGTTTCTGAACTGAAACAATTTTAGTTTATATGCTCCGTGATGTTCTGCTAGTGATGGAGGGTGTAGCTCCCATTTGTTTCTTGGAAGAATTAGCAAATTAACATGGTAGAAACATCTAACATGTTAAAAAAAATTTTTTGCAATTACATTAGAGTTTTAATCTTTATTGAAATTTGAAATGCCAATACTTTGAGACAAACACATTAAACATCAAAGCAAAACTTTTTAAAAAAATGCAGCTCTTTTCTTGTTGTGCTTGAGTAAAACTTTCAGCTGCTTCAGACAGGCACCTGTGGATCGTCTTTGTTTTCCTACTTTGTCCACAGTGAGCAGATGTTTAAGTGCTTTTGGAAAAGCTCAGTCAGGGAACCAGGACATGGGGATTTCCCCTCAGGCTATGTGGACAGGGCTGCCAGGGACACAAACCCTCTCAGCGAATCAACAGCGCCCAGTGTGCATGGTGACCTATGAACAGGGTCGGCGGCCAGTATCTTGTCACCAGCAGGGCAGACAGAGCGAAAGCCTGGCCTTGGGTCCAAGGAGACTGCATCTCTCGGCTGCTGTCCCTCAGCTGCTCTTAATGTTTGGTGACTGCGGACATATTTGCTGTGATCTATTGAAACAACAAAGGCTTGAAATAACGTGAAGTGAATTTGCCAGTTTTTACATGTGAGGTCTGTGAAAAAAAAAATGAAAAGTTAAAATGTTCCACAAACAAGTAAATGAAGAAGCGCAGAATTCACAACAAATTCGGGGCACTGAGCATGCTCAAAACGTCTCTTTATTTAAGACTTCTAAATGAACAAAGAACAGAACCTTAAAGTTCAAAAAGTAAAAGCTAACAGCAGCTGTGGCCCACAGCCTGCCAGGGTCGTGACTTTTGATGACAGAGCCTCATAGTCCTCTCAGCAGGGGAGTCCTGTCCCATTTCCAGACACTTCCTATTCCTGCCACTGACAGCCAACAGACAGCCCAGGTCACCCGGACCAGCCAGAGCCAACGGACAGCCCAGGTCACCCCCGGGACCACCCAGGGCAAACGGACAGCCCAGGTCACCCCCGGGACCACACAGGGCCAACGGGACAGCTCAGGTCACCCCTGGGACCACCCAGGGCCAACGGACAGCCCAGGTCACCCCCGGGACCACCCAGGGCCACACTGGCTGTGTCTCCAGCCCCCTCACCCACACACCCCTCGCCAGTTCTGGGGCACACTAGCTCTTTGTGGTCTCAGAGCACACTGTGTTCATCCTGCCTAGGGGCCACCCTGCCTGCTGTTCCCTCTGTGAGGTGGGCTGACCTCTGGGCAGTGAGCCCCTTTCCCCCTTCATCATCTACAGCTGAACCCTGGCCCACTCCCGCTATCCTTCTTCCTCATGGCGCCCCTCATAGCTTGTTTTGTCTTTTCATTGGCTGAGGCCTCTCTCCCCAGGGTACCGGGGGCCTCTGAGGGCAGGGCTTGCATCTGCCTCTGTGAGGCTCAGAGTCCCGAGCGCAGCAGGTGCCTAGGAGGAGTTACTGGGCCCACAAGTGCCTCCCTCATCTTCTTGCTGCTCCCCTAGAAGGTAGACCTCACGGCCACCCTGGGTCGGAGGTTAACAAATGAGCTGCATCCACACCCACTCCACAGACACAGTTCCTTCTGTGCGCAGCCGTCTCACAGGACAGACGGGGCAAGCAGGGAAGGAGGCTGGGCGCCAGGCAGGTGAGTGAGCGAGCCTGCAGGGGAAGGGTGGAACCAGGATGGGGCTGGCCGACCACCAAGGTTTGCCGAGGCCCTCCCAGTACCCAGCTCTGCCCAGTGCAGCAGCTGCTCCATGGGGTACACCCAGGCCTGCCCACAAGGGCTGCCCTCTGGCCTGTGAGTGGAACTGCCTTGCAGTGAGTCTCCACCACACTCTCTAGGTGTGCAGCCCCGTCAAGGGGCTCCCTGAGCAGGACGCCTGTGTGGATGGGGGCGGCATAGGCTGCTCCTAATGGAATTCTCATTTGATTCACACTCCATCCATCCTCAGCCTCCCCAAGACACCCACCTGTTTGTTTCACATGTAATTGTTGTCTGCAGCCAGGACATTTCCCAAGATAATCTTTGATTACAAATTCAAGTGAAAGCAGAGCAAATGCAGAGTAGAATAGAAATCTAAATTTGAAAAGCAGTGTGAACCATAAGCCCAGCCCTTGGCAGCTCCCATAGCAGAAACCCCGGACAGTGCACATTGCAACAAGCCTGGTGGTTCCTCATGCAACATCCCACTCAGAGAAAAGGCATCCAGGCCCCAGGGCCCCAGAGCCAGATCTGAGCAGACACACAGGGTGCTCCTGGAATAAAACCTGTGTGTCACCTCACACATGGCTTTACACTTTAACAGCACGAGCACGTGACGGTAGCAGTCCAGAGCACTGGGGGTACTTCTGGGGTTTTTACCTAAACGACACCATACTGTTCTGGTCCCTTTGTAACTTGCTGTCCTTTTACTCAGCATCACTTTTGAGGCTTCTCTGTATTCATTCACTTTACGTGCTACTCTCCTTTGTATAAAGGTCACGATTCATATTTTCATCCTCATGTTGATACACTTGGGGTGCCTCTGAGCTGAGCTCTTTCAGCACCGTGGGGAGGACTTTAAGCCTCCGCTGCCCAGTGCAGGCACTCCGCTCAGGTGTGTGCCCAGATGGGATTTGTTGACCAGGAATTCACTGCCATATCCACCAACACTGGGCAAGCACCAAACACTTAGGATTTTTCAACCTCAATATAGAAAAATATTAAATATTTTAGCTTTGTATTACATTTTAGAAAAAACATTTTTAACTTTAAATATTTTAGGCCTTAAGCATTTTGCTAAATGACAGGTATATGATGAGAGCTTGTTCACACTTGCACTAGAAAGACTGAACATCTTTTGTTTATTGAACATCAGGGTTTAGTGAGAGTTTCAAAACTGACCTTTTGAAATACCAGTTTACAACCTGCCTGATTTCCCATTAGTCTGTCTTTCTTATTGTAAGCTTTTAGGAGCTCTTTATATATTCTGGATTCTGACCATTAGTTGTCCACAAGAGGTCCAAACATCTCCCATTTTGTGGGTCATTTTTAAATTTATCACCCAGAAGTATGAAACTTTAACGCAGTCAGGTGTATCAATCATTTTATTCATAGTCTGTGCTTTGTACATCTCATTTATTAAATACTTCCCTATCCCAACTTTCTAATGATCTTCTTTTCTAAGTTTTTGTTTTGTCATATTTAGTTCTTCACTCTATTTGCAATTTATTTCTACTGAGGTGAAATTTATGTAACATTCACCATCTTAAAGTGCATAGTCCAGGGGCATTTAGTACATTCAGAATGTCGTGGAACCATCCCCACTACCTGGTTCCAGAGTGCTTTCATCTCTAGAAAAGGAAACCTTCTATTTAGCAATCATTACCATTCAGCTCCTACTCCCAGCCCCTAGCAAACAATCATTTGCTTTCTGTCCCTGTGGATTGATCTACTTTATGTATTTCATAGATAGAATCATACGATGTGTGGCCTTTTGAATCTGCTTCTTTGAGTTAGCAAAATGTTTTTAAGGCTCGTCCATGTTGTAGGGTGCATTAGAATTTTACTCCCACCTATGGATGAATGATACTCCATTGTATCATTCATGGACCATATTTTGTTCATCTGTTCATCTGTAGATGGACTTTGGATTTTTTCTACCTTTTGGCTATTGTGAGCAGTGTTACTATGAACATTTGTGTACGGGTTTTCATGTGACCTTACATTTCCATTTCTCTTAGGCGTGTACCTAGGAATGGAATTGCTGGGTTACATACTGACTCCATGTTTAACTTTTTGAGGAAATACCAAACTGTTTTCCACAGAGGCTGAACCACTTCACATTCTCAAGAGCAGTGTACAAGGATTCCAATTTCTCCATCTCCTCACCTACATTTACTACCTCTGTAGTCATCCCAGTGGATGTGAAGTGGGGTCTCATCGTGGTTTTGATTTACATTTCCCTAGTGATTGGTGATGCTGAACGTCTTGTCATGTACCTGTTGACTGTCTGTACATTTTCCTTGGGGAAATGTCTAAGTCCTTTGCACATTGTAAATGGGTCATTTGTCCCTGTTGTTTCTAGGAGTTCTTTCTATATTCTGGATGTCAGTCCCTTACTGAATATATGATTCACAAATATTTTCTCCCATTCTATGAGTCATTTTTTCATTTTCTTGACAAAGTCTTTTGAAGAACAAAAGTTCTTACTTTGGATGAAGTCCAATTTATATATATATATTTCTTCTTGTGTTGTTTGTGCTTTTGGTATCATATTTAATAAACCACTACCAAATTCAAGGCTATTCAGATCTATCTCTGCTTTCTTTTAAGAATCTTGTATCTTCACACTTAGGTTTTAGAGCCTTTTTTAATTAGTTTTTTGTGTGTGGTATGAGGTAAAGGTCCACCTGTACCCAGTTTCCCAGCATCAGTTGTTGAAAAGACTGTCCTTTCCCCACTAAATATTCTTGAATCCCTTGTTGAAAAGTATTAGACTATATATGTGATGGTTTATTTTCAGGATCTCTATTCTGTTCCATTGGGGTATGTCTGACCTCATGCCAGCATCGTACTGTTTTAATTGCTGTAGCTTTGTAGCAAGTTTCAAATTCAGGTTCTGTAAGTCCTCCAACTTTGTTCTTTTTCAAGATTGTTGTTGCTATTAGTGGCCATTTCCAAGTGAATCTGAGGATCAGCTTTTCAATTTCTGTGAAAAAGGCTGTTGGAATTTTTATAGGAGCTGTCTTGAATCTGTAGATCATTTTGGGTGGTATTGACATCTTGACAATGTGAAGTCTTCCTATACATAAACACCTGATGTTTTCCCATTTATTCAGGTTATCTTTAACTTCTTTCAGCAATGCTTTGCAGTTTTCAACATGCAAATCTTTCACCTCCTTGGTTAGATATATTCCTAAGTATTTCATTCTTTTAGATGCTATGTTATACATGGAATTACTTTCTTAATTTCTCTTTTGGATTGTTCATTGCTGGTGTATAGAAACGTGCCCACACTTAGAGGTCATGAGAATAGATGAGCCTCCTTCTCAAACTCTTCCAAAAAATTGAAGAGGAGAGAATACTTCCCTACTCATTCTCTGAGGCCAGCATTACCCTAATATCAAGGCCAGATAAGACATCACAAGAGAAGAAAATTATAGACCAAGATCCCTGATGAATAAAGATGCAAAAAATCCTCATCAAAATTTTAGCAAATAGAATCCAATAGCGTATTGGAACGATTATTCACCACAAACAGTGAAATTTATCACAGGAATACAAGGGCAGTCCAACATAAGAAAATCAGTCAATGTAGTACATCACATTAACAGAACAAAGGTAAAAAAATGATCATCTCAACTGATACAGAAGACGTATTTTTAAAATTTCAATACCCTTCATGACAAGAGCTCTCAGAAAACTAGGATTAGAGAGAAAATTCTTCAACAGGTTAAAAAATATTTATGGAAAGCCCACAGTTAACATCATACACAACGGCAAAAGCCTGAAAGCTCTCTCCTTAAGATCAGGAATCAGCCAAGGATGCATTTTGCTGCTTCTAGTCAACATTGTACTGGAACTTCTAGCCAGAGCCATTACAGACACAAAAAGAAATAAAAGACATTCAAATTGGAAAGTAAGACGTAAAACTATCTCTGTTCACAGTGACATGATCCTATACATAGAAAATGCCAAAGAATCCACACACACACACACACACACAAAAGGTTACTAGAGCTAATAGATAAATTGAGCAAAGTTGCAGGGTACAAAACTAACACACACAAATCAGCTGTGTTTCTATATACCACCAATGAACAATCCAAAAAAGAAATTAAGAAAGTAATTCCGTGTATAACATAGCATCTAAAATAATGCAATACTTAGGAATATATCTGATCAAGGAGGTGAAAGACTTGTATGCTGAAAACTGCAAAACATTGCTGAAAGAAATTAATTTCTAACCCTAACCCTAACCGTGGTCCCTCTTCCCTTCTGTCTGCACATTCAGTTCCCTCTAGACACACCTACGTGTGGATGCTTCCAGGCCGGTATTTCCTGACTTCCTCTCGGCACCAAGCTCTCACAGCAGTCCAACCACTCAACATGTCTAACAGCATCTCAGCACTAATGTGTCTTCTCCCAAATCTGCTTCTCCCATCTCAGTAAATGATACCAACTTCCACCTGCTCACCAGGCCTCAAATCCCTGAATTGCTGTCTTAGTGCTAATTCCTAACTGCAGAGAGCAGAATCCACTGAAGCTAATTTACGCAGTATGGGAAGCTATCAGGTGAGGTATGCCATCTGTGACAGGGTGGGTAACCAGGAACAGCCAGTAACATCAGCAACCTGGAAAAATTCCTGACAAGTCTATAGCATCCTTTTAGGAAAACCCCACGGCCCTGTTCCCTCCTACTCAGCGCTAGCGCTGCCAAGGACAGGCCTTAACTGCCCCGGATGAACCAAACACCTCAACCGCCAATTTGCTGAGACAGCCACCACTCCCGTGGTTCCTCCCACACCTTCGGTGGTGCATGTACGAGCACAAGCAGGCACATCTGTACCTCAGATGCAAAGGACCTGGGGCAAGTGTCTTTGCAGTCGCCAGCATCTGCACGCAGGGAGCACGCACGGTGGCTGGCAGGGGCCGAGATCAGCTAGTTCACTGCCTGCCACCTACCTCCTTGGCTTCTTTGTCCCTCACTCTCCAGACAGCTATCAGCCAGTCCTCTCAGCTCTACCTTTAAATGGATCCTGCTTCGATCATTTTTCACACCCTCTGTGATTCCCACCCTAACCAGCCCCCATCGCTCACTCGCCCCAGGATCACGGCAGTCACCTCCTGACTCACCCTGCCTCAACCAGCTGTGGTCTCCACCCTGAGCCAGGGTGAAAGGTTTGGAACATAAATCAGATAACATCACTTCCTGCCCAAAGTCTCTGCGCAGTGGTTCCCCATGACACTCAAAATAAAACAAAACTCACCTCTATCACTACATATCCCTGCAGACTTTCCCATCTGGTCTCTTCACCTGTGCCCTTGTTCACAGTGTCTTAGGTACAATGGTCTTCCCGTTGTTCCTCAAGCACACAGTTCTGTTCCTGCCCACCTCAGGGCCTCTGCACAGGTGGGTCCTTCTGCCTGGAAATCAGCTCCCTCCCTGGTCCCTGCACAGTCTTCCCTGGCTCAGCCATCTGCCTTACTCAGATGTGATTCTCTGTTCTTTGGTTTACTGTTTTGTCTCCCTCCATTGGAATGTCACACCCCCCAGGAACCTGACAGGTGTCATACAGTGGCTGGCAGAAAGGAGGTGGTAAGTACCTTCTGAGTAAATCAAACCATTTCAACAGTCCAAGTTTGGGAGGAAATTTCTTAGGAAACATCCCTGTTTCTATGCATGCACAGCAAAGGACTCAGATCCCGGGACACTGCAGCTGGAGAGCACATGCGGACTACCCTGTGCAGGCCCGGCTTTCCTTCTGCACAGCAGAGGTACAGCATCTGTGTGCCCCAGATCTCTAGTAAGAGCTGCACCCTGACCAGGCATCCAGGTCACTGGTGACCTCCCCTGCTGCCAGCCCCTGGATCCTGGACGACAAAGCCGCCGTTCTGGAGGCATGCCAACAGCCCGAGGTGTGTCCTGGCAGGACGGCAGAGGTTTACGCAGCGCAGCATGGCTGCTGTCCCTAGAGCGTCAGGCAGGTGAGCAGGTGAGAAGAAGGTGGGGGAGGGGCTGAGGGAGGGGCACCCAGGTCCCCAGCACCGAGAGGAATCCGGGAATCCTAGCAGAGGAGCCAGGCAGGGAGCCAGCAGAGGAATTCAAAGCCCGGTACTGGGCGAGGGAGCCGAACTCAGGCCGCCACCTCAGCTTCCTTCACCCTATACCTGCCGCCCTTCGGCTCCAACACGGCTGAACTTCATCGCTAAGTGACTGGCCCGTCCCGCAGTGGGCGGGCTGAGCCAGTGCCCCTGCTTCTAGTCCGGACGCCGTGCTGGATGAGGCACCGGACGACGGGCGGGCGGCTCTGAGGCCCCTGCGTTCCCCGCACACCGCGGGTGCTCCACGAGCCGGAGCCCCCGGCTCGGAGCTACAGGGAAGGAGCTGGCTTCCCGGGGTCGGGGAATACTTCGTTTTCGGAGGTTCTCCGCAAACCTAGGCGTTAGTGTCGCAAACCCAGAGAGAGCGCGTTCAACTCTGGCGCCCGACTCCCGAGGAGGGGAACGCGGCCGCTCGCTCGAGGCCCAGAGGCGCGCCAGCTCTGTTTACCCGGCAGAGAGCGTCCCGTCCGGCAGGCAGAGAGGCCAGCACATCCACGCCGGCAGAAGGCGGTCCGCTCCACCTGCCCCAGGGGGAATCGCGCGCTGTTGTCTTCACTAGTGTGTCTACCCCGGCGCACGTCAGGTGTGAGTCTGTCTACCCTGGGGAACATCACGGTGCGATAGTCTTCACCAGCACAAGTCCGGGTCCGGTCCGCCCCCGCGGAGATCAGACG